TTTTTTTTGTTCTCTTCTATATTTATATTATCTATTTTTTGTTGTTGTTGTTGTTGTGATTACCTGCCATTTTGTTTTGTGTTTATTGTATCATTTGCCATTCTTATAAGCCTTTCTCTGTCACTGTCCCAAATCTTCTTTTCTTATATTCATATATATTTATGTGTTGTTTTGTAACGCTATATTCCACACATACATATGTTCTTTTTTTTTTTATCTGAATCTATATCTATATAAATACGGTTTTACCGGTCTTCCGATAGGAGCAATAAAAGATCGAAACAACAGACATTGAAAATGTACTAGTATTATTATGCGAACAATGTATATTGACACGTCACGATATATGAATTTTCTTTTCTTTCTTCAATGTCGAACAGATGAGACAAACACAATGCATAGTATAAAACAGCTGATTCACTCGTTTCGCATACACGCATCTAACCGAACAACATGCAAACACATGTTAATTTGCTCGTTGATGAGAAACAAGAGCGGTAAAGAATTCAGCTGATGATGAAAGAACGAGAAAGGCAAAAAGAACGAGAATATGGCCTTTTTTTTCTTGTTGCACACATTTTTTTATCAAGACTGTATGCATCAATGGTAAATGTTTCATGAGAAAAAATTCTCGTTTTTTTTTTTCTTCCTTCCTCATTTTCTTTTTTTACTTAATAATCATCATTTTGTGATTATTGCTTGACCTTAGTATTTATTGTATATGATGTTTCATCTTTGCTTGACTCGTAAATGTAGGTAATATATATTGACTTAAATCACTTTCTTCACGCATGTATAGTGTATGATGATAGATTGAAGGTCGTCATGATATTATATGGAATAAAATATAATATATATATGCTAGTAATAATGATTCTATATTCTAAGATCGTATCTATAAGATAGAAAGAAAAAGAGAAAAAAAAATGCTCGATTGACTTGAATACAACAATGACGAACTAGTATGACCGATCATTGAGATGCTTCCTGCTGACAAAAATTAGTACGTGTATGGTATCATTCATGCTCAACATATACATCCGATGAAACAATGTCATACTGAGTCGACATAGAAAATAAGCATTTATATATCAGAATTTAAACTACTAATAATAAATTTTTTTCTCCCTCTCTCTCTCTTTATATCAAGAAATACTGTCATTTATGTAGACGTGATGTTTGCAATAGTCTTTTGCCTACATGCTGTTCGTTAACAGATTATGGTATACTAAATTGCTAGAGGTTATATTCTATATCAAACATTGAAAAATCTATTCATCATAATTCAAACATACATGTTTCGGAATTATAGGTACTGATAAAGCAGGTTTTGTAGTTTGTTTTGTATTGCTTTTAAATAATTACTTTAGATAAAATAACATGTAAAGTGTAGTTAAAAGACCGTTAACTACGTCATTTCTATGTTTTTTTTACAAACTGCAAGAGGTGGAACGTATTTCACGTACATTTTACAAGGATTATTTCGTTACCGCTATCTATTGCTTGAGGCGAACACATACGACTGATCCCATACTCTACTATTTCCCTCTCTCTCTCTCTTTTTCTTTTTTCTTTTTGCATAGGTTCTATTTCAGACCACTTCTTACATCTCATCATTCATACATATACAAAGGAAATAACCAAATAATATTAGTCATAAATTATTCGTCACTTATAACCTTTTAATATCATTCTATCTACATAAAATTTAACTATTAATTTAAAAAACAATAACTAATGATATTTATTATCAATAAAAAATGAATGATAGCAATTATCTATTGAAATATTTATAGTTCTCTATACATTATAAATACCATCCAATTTATCTTCAATTAAATGATGTAAATAATATCTTTAAACAAATTTCTAAACCAACAATAATGGTTAACAAGCAAGGTAAACAATTGTCAATTTTTTTAGAAGTGCGTATCTTTGTAAGAGAAAAAAAAAAAGTAAAATATTCTCTTCACCTTGATTTCTTTTTTTTTCGCAGCTTGCTGATTCTGTTACCACAATACTTCAATAAAAAAGTAAATTTCATCGTCAACAGTAAGCATACACACATACACATTCACACATAAACTACCCATCGTTCTCTATGTTGTCGTGATGGTAGCTTTAGTATTTGCTTCCATCAAATATTTCTCTTCATTGCTTTAATGTCCGCATTCTCCTATACTTCTTTTGTCGATCTTATTAATATAAAACCATGGCGGTATTGACTATACATATATATATATATGTTGGTAAATATCGATCATCAACAAAGCGAGCGAGAGAGGAGAAACGATCTAGACCGCGCGTTTATATACACATAGAAGAAAAGGATTTGTTTTCTTAATAATAACTGTACACCGCTACCATCGTTCGATATGTATATATATATATATATACCGCCTGTCTGTTTCATCTATCCATCAAATTGACGAGAAGAGATCAATGAGAATGTTTGTTTGATAACCTTTTCTTTTCAATAAAAAAAACTGTTCAATAATAATAATAAGAAGAAGAAAAAAAACTGTCATTTTTTAGGTTGCAACAGTAAAAAGAGCTTATAATAATGAGTAGGTGTATCTTTTATATTGTATGTAACCTTATCAGTATTCATAGGCATAGAATAACACAATTTATTTCTTATCTTTTTCGTTTATATATATATATATATGAAAGAAAAAAATAATAATAAAAAAAGAAGGAAACGAAAAAAGAAATGAAATGAAATTGTATATATATACTTGAAAAGTTCGTCTTTCGATTATAGATTTATTGACTAAGTTCCGACGAGGTCGTTTGTTAAGTATAAAGAAAAAGGTGTGTGTACGATATACGAATGATTTGATGCTAATCAAGGCGAAGAAAAAAGACAGGGAGAAAGAGAGAGAAGGCAAGAGTAATAATAACATCGTCCAATATGTTGTTTTAGCAATTTAACATTAACAAGGTTTCAATTGCAAGATAGAACATATATATATATATTGTCTCAATTCTTTTAAACTAGAAAAATATATTCTTAATTATGTCAATTTTATTTTTTAGATTGAAATAAAATAATGAATATATATCATCAACAACAATCAACATTTTTATATGATCCTGAAGTTGATCTTCGTGAAGAACATATTTCACTTATATCAAAACGGCTATTAACAACATTACGTGAAAGTAAAATTAAACATTTATCATGTGATAATCTTTTTCTTCCATGTAATCATATACGAAATATTGCTAAACAATGTTTAATCATGTCAGCTGAAGAACCATTTGGTATTATGGGTGCACAAATTAAAATCAAACTAACATTATTATCATCAAATATGACATCAACAATAACAAAATATCTTCCATTGATACGAATAAATCCAAAACAAAAAACAATATTTGAAATCGAAATTGATCTTCATGAAGATACAAAAGTTTTTACATTAAGACGTTTTTTACCTGAAATGAAAATATTTAAACAATTAAAAGAAAAAAGTCCATTATATGTAAGTCCCCGGTGTTTACTTGTAAA